CGTAATACCTTATTAAAAACGGCACAGGGATCGCAGCGGCGGTGTTGGTGGCGGCGGCGGCGTGGACGGTTGTGTTAACGCACGAAGCGCGCAACTACCCGACCGGCGGCAGCGGCGGAGGTGGCGGTGGCGGGTACGAGTACCGCGGGAGCGACTTCCAGAACTACCCTCCGCCCGAGGCGTCGAGCAACTACTACGACGGGCCGCCCCCCGCCAACCGCTACGAGCCCGCGCAGCGCAAGGGGCTGGAGCGCCGGCGCACCGAGGTCATGTGCCTGGAGGCCGCGCGCAACACTTCGTGGGACCCGGTGTGCGCCAACGACGGCCAGACCTTCCAGAACTTCCTCGCCTTCCAGTGCTACGTGCGCTTCTTCCACGGTGAGTGCTTCCCGGGACTCTCCCTTTGTTTGGGGTTTCCGGGTGCGCCAGCTGTTATTACGTGCGCTTCTTCCACGGTGAGTGCTTCCCAGGACCCTTCGATTGTTTTGGGTTTCCGGGTGCGTTAACTGTTATTACGTGCGCTTCTTCCACGGTGAGTGCTTCCCAGGACCCTTCGATTGTTTTGGGTTTCCAGGTGCGCCAACTGTTATGGTCGTTAGTGCCGTATTTGTAGTGGAAGTTTTTTCACGGGAGGTGGTGGTGTTCTCCTCCAGCTGGATGATGACATCCGATTTATCTAGGAAAGTTAACTGACGTATACTTAACCGAGGGCCAGGGATACATTATTTAAAACGAAATATGACTTTTTATAACGTTTTATTTGGCGAATTTTGATGTAATTTTGAGATTTTAGGTTTGAGACCCAATGGTGACAATATTTTTGACATTAGTTTGTCGATTATGTCGTATTCAGTCGCTGCCTGGAGGAGAAGTCCAGTGGCCGGCTGCTCCTATCTATAATTTTCCGTGTTTTTTCCGTTCAACATTAGGCGAATGTGGGAGAAGTACCATACGAAACGGGCCAAGGGCCGCGCGCGATCTTTCCTTCCTCTTCCTTGTCCTATCCTACCCCTTACATTCACGCACTTACGTGCACTACACATGCCGGGACGCCGCTCGGGAGCTTAGAGCTTGTCACGGGTGGGGTGGTGCCCCGATGGTGGGAGATACCTTGTAGGGGAAAACCCTACTAGCTGACGGTAGGTCGGCGCCGGATCTCGCCCTCCAGCGGGGCAACATGCTCCAAACTTATGGGGGATAATGTCTTTAGCAGTGGACGCACCAGGATTCTCTACTAATTAATCACAATAAGACTTTGTTATTTTGTGTTTGCGAGCGCGTCAACAGCTGTGGCTACTTGTACCGTAAGTGTAGTGCAAGTGTCTGTCACGGGAGGTGGTGGTGTTCTACCCCAGCTGGATGGTGAGATTCGATTTACCTATGAAAGTTGACTAACGAATATGTAACCGAAGGCCAGGGAAGAATAAACATGCCTTGCCTCGTTTACTAACGTTTCGTGTGACGCATTTTGGTGGAACTGACTCCAAACCTATTACTTAAACTCCCAAGTCTTGACATTGACTGATATCTTGAATTCCCCTCCGCCTCTTAATATGAACAGTGTTTGATTACTGAAATATTGATAGTTCAAAGTATTCGATTTCTCGAATTTCATCTTTTCCTCTCCAGATTGTATATACCTGTGTTGGGTTCAACTGGATTAGAGTTTAAAATTTGAGGCTTGTAAAATATAATGGAAAAATTTACTGATAATGTGATTAAATTAGTAGTCAATTCAATGTTACAAAGAAAGTTCGATTTTTAATTGAGACATTTCTAATTTTATCACATTTTGTTGGGTACAAATATTTGCTTTATTAAGATTTTTCGTAATAGTGTACTGTTATATCGATTTAATGCAGCCAAAAACAGTGATTAATATAGCATTAGGACTTTTAATGGCCGTCCATTAAGAAGAATCGTAGAGTTGCTGCAAAAACTGGTTTATAAGTTCTCACAATAAATCAAATATATTTCTTAGTTTTAGACATTTTTCTTGTAAGCGCGAAACAAAATGTCCCTTTTAGATGCTTTCTATTAACAACATGTAAGAGCCACGCGTACAAGACATCATTAGAATTCATTTTACCAAGTCGTTTTTTATCGTCGTTCATTCGTCAGTGCGACTGAGCACGGAAAATCACGACATCTCTTTGAGAACACTGGAGTGTCGTTTATCTGATGTTCTCGACACAAAATTACGACTTCGACAAGTGCATTTTTTCGTTAATTTGGGGCAAACGGAAAGCAGCATCCTTCTGTATTTCCACTGTGGCGTTCGGTGTTCCAATCGGCCTCTTATTGAAGACGCCTGAATTGCAGGCGCCAGCCCGCCAGTAAATGGCGCCTGGTGCGTTGGTGCACTGGCGCGTTGCTAGCGCGCTCCGCCCCCGCCCACTCTCACTCCGTCCCCTGCTAGTTACGCAACTTTGGCCTCGACTTAATGGATCATTAGGCAAATTTTGTTTCACATTCTTCATTCAATTTGGGGCTAATTAAATGGCCGCAAATGTAAATGAAAGGGCGAGAGTATATAATTACCGATTTTGTTAACGAAACAATGAGCGATTGCGTACGTTTTGGCGAGCGAATTAGAGTGGTAATCGACCAGAGCGTCGATAGTTGGTATTTTTTTAGATTCCTGGGTATCTAAATGAGCCTATCAATCCCGGGAAGACTAGCTTTAGGGGACTGAGACATTTGGGTAGAAATGTCTGCGGTCAGGGCACAGTTGCAGACAGAAGTTTTATTTAGCTGATCAATTTTTCGGTAGTCAATTGAACTTAAACATTATAACTGGATTCTAACTATATTTAACGTGTTAGAAGACGTAATTTTCGGTTTATATGACGGTTATGAATTATACCATCTTTTACGCTTTACGCATAAGTTTTTTTTCTGGTTTGAGTTTGAAATAAATCACTGAATTTCATTCTCTTCCCTTCGGGGATTTAACAATTGTCCTTACTCTGTCTTAGACTCAACTCTCGCATAACGGTTGATTTTTATCTCTCAATCTCAAAAGTGTGAGTTTACACTCAATTCATGGCTCGGTGAGTGAATATTTCTCTTATGTCAGAAAACATTCGACTAAATTACAAAATAACTGAAGAATTTTTTTACGTAACAATATTTCGTAAAATAGTTAGGAAAACATATTTTTTCTCTCTTAATTGATATGTGAATTGGCCTTCGATATATTTAAGTTTCTAAGTTGATTTATTAAAATTCTTTTTTTAACTTTTCACATTGTTATTCTGTTGATAAAATAAAGTTTTGGGGTATACGTAACCATCAACAATAGACGGAATGCTTTCGTTTCTTCGAAAACCTTTATAATTAATGCCCAAAATATAACGTTCTCTTGCCTTATTAAAAAACTTAGAAAGTTACTGTCAAAATATCTCCAAAATGGCATCGTAAATCACTCTCCTGGACTTATAATTAAAACTGTTATTAGAAAATATTTATTGATGAGTGCGCAATGTGCATTTTGTAGTGCCATTTTCCAAAACTGTTTAGTGTCTATAATAATAATTATTTGGAGTTGAAGTGTTGTAGTATATTAGTTTTTCACTTCCATCAGTAATGTCGTAACTCTTTTATTTGATTTAGTACGCTGATTCCATGCGTATCTGGCTCTAAGAATCTAGAGGGCTTACGACAGCAAATATGCTGGATTTCCATATAGATGCACATACATTTGTTGCTTCAGAACTATATACCCACATACTCAACAGCATGGCATTATTGCTGAGCTGCATGAACCACTAGAGTTTTTATTTCTGGAGGAATTTTATTCCATCCCCAGTATGAACTTCTAGGCTGTTCGGGTTCTGGCTGTCCAATTCCCCAATATTTCTCGTTGATTACCTGTATTCTGTTCTAGTTGCTCGTTTATTAATTCCTTCAACTCTCAATCAAATACTCGATTCGATCACGCGCAGGAAGGGCAAAGACCTTCAGTGGGTGGCAAGGTAAACGTACTCGAGATTTCTAAAGGATTTACTTTATAACCTAAATCGCGCAATCAAAATTTAACTGTCCGTTAAGATTTTATTTTCCCCTTTATTTAGACCAACCTTCATAAAACATTCAATATAATTGACCATCTCGTGGTTCTTTTCTTATTTATTCAAGAAATAATTTGTCATTTTACTTTTTTAATCACTTTCACTTTCAAAGAAACTCCAATATCTGATAACCACAATCTTTCTTGTCTTCGTTTTTTTGACATCACTCCGACATCGAAAGCTAAAGAAGATAAAGCGCAGAAGACATTTTGTGGAGGGATAAAACTAATTAAATTGAAACAACGTACAAAACTGTGAGATTTATTACCTTTTAAATTGGCGTATATTTATAACTGCCTAATTTCTGACTCAATAATTTTCACTCGCCATGTGTTTAAAAACTAATTATATTTACTATTACTTATTTGAACCAGTTTTTTATGTACAAACCAATTCTATAAATTAACTTTATACTGCAAGACTTAATTCATGTAAGCTCCTCTGGATGTATTCAAATGATTTATTCGCTCATTTCTTGACAATAATCCATATTTGCAAGTGGTTCATATGTGTTTTAAAAATAGTGTCCTATTACCAAAAAATAATCTAATTTGAACGCCACACAAGCCAGCCACATAACACAGGAGATAGCATCTAGCAAGCGGTATTCTGGTAGTGAAGGTCCGAAGCAAGGATTCCACTTCTGCGGCAGTGGTTCATCCAGCAGGTGACGAGCAATATACCCCTGAGTGCATCTGCCGGCTCGGATGACGTGGGCGAAAGGCTTCAAGCCCGCCTCGCCTCTCGCCCGCCAGCCCACCAACCCGCCATGCCCCTGCTCCGCCCCAAACACCGCTCGCCCCGCCGCCTCAAACCACCGCGATAGCCGCCCCGCCGCCCCGCCCGCCCGCGCCGCGCCCGCCCTGCCCGCCGCCTCCCGGCCGTCGCTGCGTCAGCCGCCGGCGCGGCTCGGCTATCGACGCTCTGGTCGATTACAACTTCATATTCGCTCGCCCAATAACGTACGCAATCGCTCATGTTTCGTTAACAACAATCGAGTAATTTTAATATACTCTCGCCTTTCATTTACATTTGCGGCCATTTAATTAGCCGCCAAATTGAATGAAGAATGTGAAACAAACTTTGCCTAATGATCCATGTAAGTCGAGGCAATAGTTGCGTAACTGCAGGGGGCGGAGTCGAGATGGGCGGGGCGGGAGCGCGCTAGCCAACGCGCCAGTGCACAACAACGCACGAGGCGCATTAATGGGAGGCTGGCGCCTGCAATTCAGGCGTCTTCAATAAGAGGACACGCATGTGGAACCGAACGCCACAGTGGAATACAGAAGGATGCTGCTTTGCCGT